GGGTACAACCTTCCTTCGCAACATTGTCCGGGGATAAGCGTTTCCAGTTATCAAGCTCCAATCTTATCGGTGTCGCAGCAACCCAGCATCCCGGTTCAGCACCCATTCGGTCCAAATTCACAACAACTAGCAGCTCGTCATGTGGTGCCTAAAGAGCTTCCATCGTTCTCCGGAAATCCAGCAGAATGGCCCCTTTTCTGGAGTAGTTTCGACACGTCCACACAGATGTGTGGGTATACTGATGCAGAAAACTTGATGCGGTTACAGCGGAGTTTGAAAGGAGACGCCAGAAAATCCGTTAGCTGTTTTTTGCTGCATCCAGCAAATGTTGCCGAGGTGATGAACACTCTACACTCGCTGTATGGTCGTCCAGATACGATCATCCAAACACTGCTGAACGAAGTACGAGTCACTTCTACGCCGAAGCCGGAAAAGCTGGAAACCCTGATCAATTTTGGACTGGCGGTGAGAAATCTTTGCGTACACCTTGTGAGTACGGGGCAGGAGATGCACTTGGCGAACCCAATTCTATTGCAGGAGCTCGTGGAGAAGCTGCCCGCGAATATCAAACTAGATTGGGCCCTCCACAAGCAACGTGTACTGGTTGCGGATCTACGTGCATTCGCAGAATATATGAATGTGTTGGTCACAGCGGCTAGTAGTGTTACGGCAATTGGTGAATCTAGCTCACAGAAAGCTGATCGGCTAAAAGGAAATATGAAGGCGTTTGTGAACCCCCACTCTACTGAGGTGTCCCGGTCAGAATGGCGGAATAAAGAAGGAACAAGCTCAGGAGTAAGTGCGTCCGGCATCAAAGTGTATCGGCCGTGTGCAGTCTGCAAAATTTCTGGCCACAAGCCGAAGGACTGTGATACGTTTAAGCGAAAAAGTTTATCTGACCGTTGGAAGGTTGCAAATGAAATCAATCTCTGCAAAATATGCTTGTATCCGCATGGGCGATGGCCTTGCAAGGCTCCAGCGTGTGGCGTAAACGGGTGTCAGCAACGTCACCACCGCCTGCTACACCCTGAAGAACCACAGGCAGAAACGACTAGTACCACCACCACTACCACCACGGGAACAGTAGCTGTTCATCGACATTTGCATAGTCAGATACTATTTCGTATAGTTCCGGTGTCGTTGCACGCTAATGGGAAATCAATCCATACCTTTGCATTTCTCGATAGCGGTTCCGACTCTACCTTGGTGGAAAACTCCATCGCGAAGCAGCTAGGAATAGTGGGACAACCGGCACCGTTATGAATACAGTGGACGAACAGAGTAAAGCGAATGGAAGAAGCGTCGCAGCGTGTCGAACTTTACAGCTCTGCGTCGGATTCAACAAAGCGCTTCGCCCTGAATGGTGTACACACCGTAAAAAGTCTGGATTTGCCTCGACAATCTTCTAAGGTTTGAGGACTTCGAACGAGACTTCCCACACCTTCGAGGGCTTCCCGTGAAAAGCTACAACGATGCGTCCCCTGGTATTTTGATCGGTCTAGACAATACCAAGATAAAAACGACTCTGAAGCTGAAGGAAGGTAAATCCGATGAGCCAGTAGCAACGAAAACTCGGATTGGTTGGGTGGTATTCGGACGGAACCGAGGTCCCAACGAAGGTACATCTCGCCGCATTATTCACATGTGTAGCCAACCCTGTGATCAGCTACTTCACGACCTAGTGAAAGATTTTTTTCGGGTCGAAGGCGCGGGAGTATCCTCACCAAACGCTTTGGATTCTGCTGACGACCGACGCGCTCGAAGAATTCTAGAAGCCACTACAGTTCGTACTCCCAGCGGACGGTTCCAGACGGGGCTTTGATGGAAATATGACCAGGTAGAGTTCCCCAACAGCAGACTGATGGCAGAACGGCGGCTGCACTGTCTGGAGAAGCGTTTGCTGAAATCTCCAGAGCTGTATTCTGAGGTCAAGCAGCAGATCGTGGCATATCAAGCGAAAGGCTACGCCCATATAGCAAAGGACAAGGAGCTTGCGGAAACGGATCCGAAGCAAGTGTGGTATTTGCCCTTAGGGGTCGTCGTTAACCCGAAGAAGTCGGGAAAGGTGCGCGTTGTTTGGGATGCAGCTTCGAAGGTTCAAGGTGTGTCCCTCAATTCCGTTCTTTTAAAAGGACCGGATCTGCTTACTCCACTTCCTCTTGCTCTCCGTGTTCACTACAGTTTGTTAAAAATTTGAATGCGGATGAACTGGCAGAGGAATTCCCGAAGGCAGCTGAGGCGGTGAAGGAAAACCACTACGTCGACGATTATTTAGACAGCGTAGATACAGTCGACGAAGCGGTACAGTTGGTGGATGAAGTAAGGACGATTCACGCTAAGGGAGGATTCGAGATTCGACATTGGTTGTCAAATTCGTCGGATCTCATCGATAGAATCGGCGCCTGCAGCGAAGGAATAAGCAAACGTTTCGTGATGGATAAATGTAGCAGTACAGAGCGTGACGAATGTGCAGATCCATGTAGAAGTGGAACAAGTGATTGACTTTAAGCGTTTCTCAAAATGGGAACGGTTATTACGAACGATCGCATTCGTGGGCCGATTTTACAAGAATTGCCTTAGCAAAACTCGGAACGAACCGACTTGTTCTACATCAACGTTAAGTCGCGAGGAGCTGAGGCATGCGGAATTCACTGTTTGGAGACTGGTTCAGCTGAATGCATATCCGGAGGAGTTTACGATGTTGCTGAGAAACCAAAAAAAGCGTCCAGATCATCAGCAAACGATCAAGAAAAGCAGCCGTCTTTATGGAAAATCTCCAGTTATTGGCGAAGGTGGACTGATCCGTATGGAACGACGCATGGGGGAAGCTGATTGGATTTCCGACGACGTTAAATTTCCGGTGATTCTGCCGAAAGCGAACTATGTGACCTTCCTGCTAGCTGACTGGTATCATCGCACATACAGGCATGCCAATGGAGAAACTGTGGTGAACGAGATCGTACAGAAGTATTCCATTTCGGCCTTGAGAGTGCTTGTACGGAACGTAAGCACTCACTGCAATTGGTGTAGAGTCTATAAGACGAAACCTCAAACACCACGGATGGGACCCCTACCTGCTGTACGATTAACCCCTTACGTTCGGCCGTTCTCTTTCGTAGGGTTGGTTTACTTCGGCCCGATTACGGTGAGAATAGGTCGCATTAATGCTAAGCGATGGATAGCACTCTTTACGTGTTTGTCAGTTCGTGCGATCCACCTGGAGGTAGCATCGAGTCTCTCCACCGAGTCCTGCAAGATGGCCATCCGGCGATTCATTGCGCGTAGGGGAGCTCCACTAGAAATATATTCGGACCAAGGAACAAACTTTCAAGGTGCAAGTCGAGAACTTCAGAAAGAGATCTGCGCCATCAACAACTCCCTCGCCGAAACCTTCACCAATGCTAAGACGCAGTGGAAGTTTAACCCTTCATATGCCCCGCACATGGGAGGCGCCTGGTAAAGGCTTGTACGCTCCGTGAAAGTCGCCCTAAGAAATTCACCAGTATGCAGGAATCCTGACCAAGAAACTTTGTAGACGGTGATGGCGGAGACAGAAAGCATGGTGAACACTCGCCCGCTAACGTACATGCCACTGGAGAGTTCGGAGCAGGAAGCGTTGAGTCCAGTTCGATGTATTTCTCTGTTGGTTTCTGTAACAATTGTAAAGGTTTCAGAGACAGTAGGTGGTTGGCCTAAGGTCTCCTATCCGCCGTGATGGGGCTGCCATCTTAGGTGTAGCTTCCGGGGAAGAGCATTTCTTATTCAGCCGCTGAATGCCAGTCAGACGCTGTTTGAGCTGCACCTCCATGGTGAACAGAATCTCGGGTTGGCGAAGCATGCGAACCGTGCTATGGTTACCGCGCCAGTGTTCGCGTCGCACCTCCTTACTCTGCTATTGTCGGATTGACAACATTGCCCAGGCTACGCCAACCAGCTGTGTCCATGTTTCAGCTGGCAGTCTTTTGTGATCATATGACTCGTGGAGCCGTGAGGTAGGAACTTGTGAGGACCGGAGCTAGGTATATCGCTCCTTCCAGATTGTCACTCACCATTTTGTAGCCCAAATCCCTGATGACCTATCAATTAATCCCGCGATTTGGTACATCTCCGACCATTATGCGACGCAGGGATAAAACAATCCTACACAACACGGCCCCACCATAAAATTGTGGAAGACTTACTAGCGATCTGTCGAACCGGACCGGGAGTCAAACCCGCGGCCTCCGGCTTGATACTACCGTACCTTTACTGACTAGGCTATCTGAGACCCCCACGTGTATTTTACAAACTTAGAAACAGTTGAAGCCATGATAATACAGCTTTGTCACTATACAAACATGCTACATGGCTGAATCATGAATTTGAGACATTAGAATACCTATACAGGGTGACTGGTAATTCGTGTTACACCCGAAAGGGGTTGAAGTAGACATCATTTGCAGCAACAACAGTTATTGATCTATTTATTTTACATTGCCGAGCAACACTACCACTTTTTGCTCGGGCTGTCGCGAATATTACCAAAGCCCACCAGGGAGTAAGCATTGCTTGGTTACTATGATCATTATTTGTTTACTAACTACTCTATTCAATTGGCGCCACAGGCTTACTTTCAAATGGATTTGATCAGGTTAACGTTAGATTTAATCTTACATTTAAATGTAACGGTCGTGCATCATTGTTGATTGCTTATGAATACCCGAGCAAAATGAGACACTTTGAATCAGTAGAAAATTAATTTATCAATAACTCGGTAACGGGCTGTTCGTTTCGGGTGTAACACGAATTACCAGTCACCCTGTGCTCACCTTGATTGAAACTGAAATTCATAGTCAATTCATTGCCAATTATTTTGAACGGTACTTTCCGCTTGGACTACTTGGTACTACCGTACTACTAAAACGATCGGAGCCTTGTACTGCACGATCGTTCCGGAATATACCTATGCCAATTTTCCCCATGTTTAAGTTGAAATCGTTTTTCTCCTCTACATCTCTTAGATTGCCTTCTACAAGGGAAACAACCGCGAAAAGCTGACAATTCTGGCGAGCTTCAACAAACTGGTTGCACATATGCGGAAGTTCCTCGAATTCCGCGTCGGAATGGGCATCGTGGACAACATGATTGCTAAATGTGAGTTCTGAGTGTTCTGTTTTAGGGTTGCAGCATCGCATTAAATCGAATTATTTGCAGACATTGCTACCGTGGTTGGATTCTACGCCGTGTCCTTGCCGTTCTTCGAGAAGAATCACCCGCTGTTGACAGGTGACCAAGCCGGCGAGCGGTTAAGCGTAAGTGATGAACTTGCTCTTGTGTAGAGCTTTAGTGTTAGTTAACGTAATTTCATTATTTTCAGAGATACTACACATTCGGGCGTATGTTGGTCAAATTGGCGGAAGCCATCGGACGCCTGGTGCTGGCAGGACGTGAAATGTCCCGTTTGGCTGGTTTCACTGCCCGTATGACCGAGCTGACGGTAGTGTTGAAGGATTTGAATGCCGGTCGGTACGAGCGTACCATGGTTAGCAATTCGAGTGTGGCCGATGCCGAGATAGGGCCGGGCAAGGGCTTGATGAAATTCCAGGATAACATCATCACGTTCGAGCATGTGCCGCTGGTAACTCCGAACGGGGACGTGTTGGTGAAGGATTTGAACTTTGAAGTCAAATCCGGCATGAATGTGTTGGTTTGTGGTCCGAACGGATGTGGCAAGAGCAGTTTGTTCCGCATTCTTGGCGAACTGTGGCCTACGTGGGGCGGAAAGGTGACGAAACCACCGTCCGGAAAGCTGTTCTACATTCCACAGAGACCGTATATGACGTTGGGAACGCTGCGGGATCAGGTTCGATGGACGATTCGACTAGTTGTTAGTTTTTGCTAATAGTATTTCTTTTCTAGATCATCTATCCCCATACGCATCAGGAAATGAAACGGCGTGGCAAGACGGATGCCGATTTGCTCGCTTTCCTGGAATTGGTACAGCTATCGTACCTGCAGGTACGGGAGAAAGGTTTGGATGCAATCGAAGATTGGATTGATGTTTTGTCGGGTGGCGAGAAACAGCGAATCGCGATGGCACGGCTTTTCTATCACTGTCCACAGTTTGCCATTCTGGATGAGTGCACATCGGCCGTCTCGGTGGACGTCGAAGGAAGCATGTACGAGTACTGCCGTAAAGTTGGCATTACGCTGTTTACCGTGTCTCATCGCAAGTCGCTGTGGAAGCACCACGACTACTATCTGCAATTTGACGGTCATGGGGCGTATGACTATGCGCCAATCGACGGCAGTGAGCAGCAGTTCGGTTCCTAAGACCACCGGGAACTGGGAGTGTGTACTACGCACAAAAGTCCTTCGTGTCGGCAGTTACAAGCATGCCGTCGGTGTGAATGTGTTCGTTATGAACGAATCTAGGTGATAAGAGGTTCCAGGATGAGGTGCAGGAAACCCGCTTAGGTGTATTGCAAATAATGAAGAAAAATCCAAACTTAGGCTATTATAGGACGTTCTTTCCGTTTTGAATATATCCAGGAAACGAAAGATTTGCTTACAAGCTTTGTTTATTAGCAATCATACTTTTGTTTTTTTTTATGAATACAGACTATTGTTAGAATAAATTTAAAAAAAATATACTGCAATAAAGCAAAACATTTGTTTTTTTACTTCCGCGTTCTGTGCTTGTTTTATCCGAATGCATCATTCGTCGTTCGTGTGTTGTAAAATCTAGAATAGAATGAAAAATTGTTAGATTTTTGCTTTAACTTTCGACCTGAAGGTTGATGTAGGGGTAGGGGGGGAGAAAAAATTACTTGACGTTTTTAAAGGCATATAAGGTACATTTGAAAACAACACATAATTTGTTATAATTCGCCAATGTGAACCATGCATTGAGCTCAATTTGGTTACATTCTGAAACTGCACTGGCCCATTTAAGTCCTACTTAGCATTTCGCCATATTGCCTAGTATACAGATCGAATCGAAGTGAAATTTGCAGCAAGTGAAAAATTATGAGATTTCTCTAGAGAAAAAGATTGTGGAACATTTGCACTTTTTGTAGTTTAAAGTTAACGTAAAGCTGGGTTTAGACTAGGCAAGTCAAATGATCAACTCAGTTGAATTCAATTGGCTTGAAAAGTTCAACTTTTTTCAATTCAAGTGAGTTGATCAAGTCAGTTGAATGGCATGGTTTACACGTTCAAGTCAGTTGAATTCAACTGACATGCCCTATCTAAACCCAACTTAAAGTAAAAACAATGAGTTTAACCTCCTGTGAAGTGAACATCTGACCGATACGTTTTCTTGCATGCGTGAAAGAAGGAAACGTAAGCCAAAAAGATGCGATAAAAATAATCTATTGCACTGGATCGATCTGTTTACAGATCCAAGCGAAGTAAAATTTTTGCAGTATCAATTTTTCACGCTGGTGAAAAATCAAGTAGGGGAAATGGCTCTAATGTAGGCCTAAGATTTAAGATTGGGCCCATCGCTAAAAATCTGCTATTTATCAATTTTATCTAGATGAACGCGTCATTGGGACGGTACTAATGGATATTTTGGTCGCTATTGGAAATTTAGTCGACTGCTGAATTTATGCATGGGCCCAAATTAGGGATATTTAGGCCGATATTGCATCAATTTCCCCTATTTTATGAGATTTTCACTTTGCTTCGATCTCAATACAGGTCTTTACGAATAAACTTGCTGTCTCTACTTATAGAAAACATCTTTTGCCACAAATTTTTAATTGAACATCAAATCGATTAATTTAGACGCCACGCCACTTCGCTCAAATCTATTGAGCAGGAAAGTTTGGTTATGGATAACTGTTGGACAGCCGCCATTGTATTATACACCATAGCGATCACTTACCTAAAAAAGTTGGTTTCTACTGCTAATCGTTGCTCGTCTTCCTTCCATCGTACAACAAAGAGTTTTCGAAACGTGATATTGCCTCTGCAAAATATTCCTTTCGGATGGAACGCTAGGTTCCGTCCTCAGTGGAATATTTGCAGGACATATCAAATTCAGCCGCGGCCATGTTTTTGATGAAGATATTATTTCGTTAATTAACACACGTCTGCTCAGCAGCTCGGACAGGAACAAAATGATGGCGATGCCAAGGAAATTGACAAGGTATTATATTTCGTGTAGGTATAAACTTTTGATTTGGTGTGGGTAGAAATAATAAACGGTATAAATGTGTTCAGTGCTGCCAATTTTTGAATTTTTGAAGTGTGCCCTGCACGGTAACCAGCGTAAACACATAAATGAGTAAAAAAATACACATTTTTTACATTTTGTGAAACAAAGTAGCCGCGGATACGCCGAAGCCAGGTCCGTTTGTTTGAAGATTGCCGTGGCAACGGATAAACCAAGAGCAAATTTCCATTACGTCGAAAGTAACAAAGGTAAACAAAGTCGAGCTATTAGTGTCAATCGATGCTCATGCTATTACACTATATACTGCCTGAATATAGGATCACATCCCATTTTTAAATTTATTTACCAGTCAAATTGCTTTTTGACGTAATCACCTTCCGATCAAAATAGTTTTCGATGTTACTTAAGTCACCCGATTTCTATGGAGATGCCGTTTGCCTTAAGTAACAGCGCAGAGAAACCAGTGAAAAGTGTACGTTCGTCGTTTCGATTTCTCATTATTAAAGTGAATAAATAGAACTGTTTGTTGCTAAGATGATTTCGGTGGTCCTAAAATGATGAATGGGCTGCACGTAAGGAGACGTAATTGATAATTCTCCCGAATATCCTGGTAAATACATTTTGACTTAAGTAACAATGGGGGCCACCAAACGACGTATAATAACTTTTGACTTAAAAACCAGTATTTTTAACATGAAAGCTAGCGAATTGCATTTGCATGATTAGAACCCTGCTATATATGTTAAACATTGCTATCACTATGAGATTATACGAGTTTAATTGAAAATAGGAATAACTTTTCGGTCATCAAAACAAAACTTTATTTTTCTCGGATTGGTGCGAATGTTACTTACGACATAATGAAAATTTGCTCTTGAAACAACCTACACCGAGGAGAATTTCCGTATACCATTTATGTGTGAAACCACATATTTTTTTGCAATTAGCCTTTCACAAATAAAAAATATGTTTGAGAACATAAAAATTATTTGGTTTCCCGCAAATAAAATCAATGTTCTAAAATAAATGAATTTCATTTGCTTTAGCTAATAAAATTTATGTGTGAGGTTTATAACATTTATTTCTTGGTTGAAAATAAAGATTATGTGTCTTTTTAAAATGAAAGTCATGGTACACACAATAATGTTTACGTGTCAAGTACATATATTTTATATGTACTAAAAATACACACAATAAAATAATAAACATACATACATTCAAAGTGTTTTTTTTTTTGTTACTTCACACGTAATACATCGGTAATTTCAAAGGGATTTTCCGCGTGGAGACGTTTTCCGTTTGAGTCATCCCGTGTCTGTCGAAAGGTGCATCAGAGGGTCTTGCAAATACTTCGCCGCTTTGAGCCTCTTTGTCCTCTTCCTGCACGTTTCCCTCCCGCGCCTGCTCCTCCTGGACGTATCCCTGCGGAAAAATTCGCAAAAAAATGTTATTTCAAACAAATCATTTATATGCACCTACTCACGTTTGCCTTGCACCAATCAGTTAAAAGTTAGCACCACTCAGCGCTCAAACATCAAAATTATGTGACGCATAATGATGCAAAACGTATTTTTTATGGTATCACACATATAACTAAAATATGTCACTCATATAAGTGTTATGGGCTATCTTATAACAGATAAGGGTTTGTTATGATGTTTATGTTTACACATATAAAAATAATGTTTTGAATATCTTATAAGAAGTATGTGTACGAACCAAATAAACAATAAGTTTAGAATTTTATTAGTGTAGGTAAATAACAAAAGGATACCATGGCAGCAAGTATATAACCAAGGGCTCCAGGTAACCAATGAACAACTAGGAGGGTATAAATAGTGAATTTTCACCTAGTTCAAATTAGTTCTAATCCAACCATCAAGCTGTGTTTACAGTAATAAACTTCGTTTAAATCAATCCTGTCTTTCTCTGCTACGAACAATACCTACAAGAGGTTATGGGCACCCCGAAGGAAGCTGCGCATGGAATTCCCCAGTATTCCGGTGGACCGGGATTCGAGAATTGGAGTTTTCGCGTCAAGATGTTTTTGGATGCAGCTGGTGTGCTGCGGACATTGACGGAAAACGTACCAACAGTGGAAGCAGTTAAAGCAAAGTTTGAAGAAGATGATCGGAAAACGAAGAGCTACATCGTAGGATTCTTGGTAGATGATGTTCTGGAAGTAGTCCGGGACAAAAGCAGCGCGAAAGAGATGTGGTCAAGCTTGCGTGAAGTTTTTGCCAAGAAGTCTGTGGCCAGTCAAACGCTCCTACGAAAGCAGCTTGGACGCCTACGGATGAAGGAGGGAGCTTCGATGCGGTCTCACCTTTTGGCGTTCGATGATCTCGTGAGGCAACTCAAAACGGCTGGTGCGAACCTGGAGGATGGAGATCTCGTGTCTCAGCTATTCCTTAGCTTGTCGGACTCATACGATCCCCTCGTCACAGCGCTGGAAAACATCAAGGAAGAAGACTTGAACTTGGATTTGGTGAAGCAACGGCTCCTTGCGGAAGAACAAAAACGTGCTGATCGGATGGACGAAACTGTTGAGGACAGACCAGTAGTTTTCGCAGCACACTACCAGGACAGACGTGGTGGCAAATTCAAGGGTAAATGCCACAACTGTGGCAAACCAGGCCACATGAAGAAGGACTGCCCCAACCCAAAGAAGGAAGTGCATGCTGCAATTGGAAAGAAAGCAATTAGTTTTATGGTGAGCCGCGACGAGCCAACAAAATCAAACTGTAACACAATTAATTTCAAATTGGACTCTGGGGCGAGTGATCATTTGGTCAATGTAAAAACGTTTTTCGACTCGACTGAAAGACTCCCGACCCCGGTGGTGATCGATGTGGCGAAGGATGGTGAAAACCTAGTAGCAAAGGACGAAGGCGAAATCAATGGCTACAGTAACCACGGCATGCTTCTGAAAGTGAGGAATGTTCTCTACGTGCCGGATCTCCGCGAAAACCTGTTGTCAGTGAAGAAACTTGCGGCCGTCGGTGTCGAAGTGTTGTTTCTCAAAAATAAAGCTGTACTGAAAAAGGATGTCTATGTTATCGCTACTGCACCAATGAAGGGGAACTTATACGAGTTCGATATTAAGATGTGTGATCCAGTTGCTAACGTTTGCCAGGTGGATTGCAACGAACTTTG